TTGGTGAATAGTAGCCCTCTGAATAGCACCCAGCTTGGCTTGAATGAGGGGTGGCGCGGGGCGTCCGGGACTTGAGGGGTGCGATGTGGCTCACCCTGTGTCAATCCCAGCCAGTTCTTTAGACCTTCGGTGATTGGGAGTGTGTGGGTGGGGGTTAAGGTCTATAATTAGATCCTTATAGGGGGAATGGGTGAGGGGTGGAACAGGATCCATTTCCATGGTTTTCTGAAGCCCTTGCTGCAATATATGCTAGATCTTTGAAGCACATATGAAGCTAGACTTCTCCAGATTCCCAGATGTAGATGTCCGAAAGTCTTCGGACGTCGGGGATGTCCCGCACATACCACCCAGGCACCAACAAAAACACACAGGTTGACCATATATAGCCACCTTCTCAGGAGCTATTATATATATGTATATAACATATATATATATATATATTGGGCCTGTCCTATTACCTGTAGCAGTGGATGATGATGTTTCGGTTGCAGGCCTTGTTCAAGAATAGTGATGTGCTTGTGCAACCGGGTCCTGTTACAGGCAAGAACGGACACACCCAATACATAAATATATGTTATAGAGTTGGATTCGGATCATGTCCCATTGAAGATCCGTAAGGGTCCAACCACTGGCGGCCAGGTCGTTCTTGGGAACCTGCCATCAGGTCCATGCCGCAACCCATGTGGTCAATGGAAACGGAAGCACTTGAGCCGTTGGCCGGAAATGGCGGCCTCCACCCCGAAGTCAAGTCTCAATCTCTCAAGGCGGAAGGGAAGGACGCAGCAAGTCTTGAGAGGTCCCCAAATGAACCATATGGATCCTCTGACCCTTAAAATCCTTAAGCCATTTCCCGGGAAAATGCGTTCAGTTCACCCAACTGTCCACCTGGATTTCACTGGAAACATCACAACCCCCGCCCAAAAAATAGGGTGACCTGAAGGTGCTCCACCACAAGAATTCCTGGGTAGGAAGCACGTGGGTTGCTTCGGAAGCAGCAACTCGCCCCTCCAATCGGTGCAAGCGACTCCGGAAGCTCTTGCCGCCCTGGCGGGAATGGTGTCTGCAAGCCGAGATTCATCTGAAGAAAAAAAGGATGGGTGTTGGGGAGGACAGCATCGGACGTTGGGGAGTAAGACTGGAATAGCTACCTCAACCTCATGACAGTTCTCTCTTGAGAAAAATGAACAGACTCACTCAAAGGGCAAGTTGACCGGGCAAAAACACAAAACGATAGTGATCATGTTTTTAGCTACAATCTGGTGAACCTGGAAAGCTGGGGCGAGCTCAGGGCTGTTTGTTTCACACTTAAATTGAAGCCTTGAGCAAAACACCATTCGCCCTTGCACCACCTCACTTGCAGAAAATGGAATCCTTCTAGTTCAACAATGCCCTTGACCAGTGTGTCTTTCATCCACAGCTCCTCAAATCTGTCCCCAATATGATGTCCAGGAAGCCGGAAGAATGTGGCCATAATTCCGAAGAAGGGGAATAATCTATAATGCACACACACAGATATATATATATATATACAAGCACCTTCCAACAGGTCTCCCAAATGGAGGGTTGTTAGGCCCTAACAGGTTTCAATTGGTGACCTGTTGGAGGTGCTGGTATATATACAACATATATATACTGTATATGATTCTTGCAAAAGAACGCATCCACCCAATCCGCCCAACCCTACGCAGGCGTCTGACGCATCTAAATCTGCCCGCCTGCATAGCCAGGGTTCATGGTGATGAAGTAGCCCACAGACGGGACCAATTTGATGGGATATGGCTCACCTGAAGTTGCTTGGCGTTTGGCAAACTCGCAGCCGAAATCATTGGAGTTTCCATGGCCATCATTGGCCATCCCTGGAACAATGTAGGTGCCACCAAGTTAAGGCCTTCGGGTTTTGGCTGGTTTTTTTCAGTGAATCCTCCTGGTTCTCTAATGCCTATGACGTCGGCATTCCTTCGGGGTGGGGCTGCGTCAGGCAGGGCAGGTGGGATGCCGGCGGAGCAGCACCGTCGGAGCCTCTTCCATGTCCACATGTGCCAAGAGAGCCCAAATCAAACCAAGTTTAAGAGGAGAGCACGCGTTTTCACATTTTGAGATGCCAAACCACATGCTTGCCATGTGTGGCTTGCAAACTGGGCAATATACTAAGCCGATGCACTCCTCATTTTCGGGCACTCCAGTGCGGTGTTTTGACTTGGGCGACGTTCAGCGAGTTCGACACGCTGCTCGCGGCGTTGGACTGAGTCCGAAGATGTGCGTTTCGCGGCACCGTTTCGCATTGGATGTGTCGCATGGCATCAATGAACAAGGACGTTTTTGTTGCCGGGCAATGATACCCTAGGGCTCCAAGTACCTCCTCAGAAGGTGTTTGGAAGACAAGAAACCCATGGTTTTTATTCCAACTCCAGCTCGAGAGCAGCTTCTAGCTAGCTTCTCGTCATTCTCGTCATCTCTACACTCTTGCAAATCACATCAAATAACCAAGCCCCATCGTCACCGAAAGTGAGAAACAAATAGGATCAAATATGACACAAACTGCTTGGCCTTGAAACCTGGAAGAGGCAAAAATAGGCAACATGATTCAAGGCCCATTGTCAGCTTTAAAACGATACGACACCTTACCTTCTTTTCTTCAAGAAATCCCTTGCACCACTTTCTAGTACGTACACAATTCCCAGAAACAATTTCTGATTCAAAAGGCACTGGAGAAAATCTTGGCCGCGCTCTTTTTCGGAAAAAGGAAAACCTTCACCCACAGCAGGAAGTGGCCCTTCCTAATCTTCAAGTGGCCCGGAAACATGAAGTTCTTCAAGTTCTGCTTCTTTGCTTGCATGATCGATTCCTCAGTTGGGTGCCGCCATTTTTTGCCGAATTTGCATCCAGGGCCCCTGGACATGGTCTAGAGTCTATTCCCTATGGATCCACATACCATCCGAGGTGAGCAAGGAAACTATTTAGGATGTAGGCTCCGGGAGGGCCCTTAGGAACCAAAATGGACCGTACGTGATCCACTTACCTGACGTGTCCGGACCTTGCACCCACCGCCGAGATGGTTTCTGCACCGCACCCTGCCAAGAGGTGAACACCGGTTCCTTCAAAAAACACCTTGCCAAGAGTCCTGGCTGGACGACCTACTACACTACCTAAGGATCTCCGACTACCTAAGGATCTAGGATGTTCCTGGCTGGTTCGTGACCGTTCGTGATCGAACTGGATCTCTCAGTGTGTTCGGTCACGATGAACTGGGCCTGTTTGACAGGTCGGTTTGGGCACGGCACTCGACCGATCTCCTGAGCCAGGTGTCCACTTGGGTGGCCACCACGCTCAGGACCTCCAACTCGATGCGGTTGAACTCGTCGAAGCAGCCCCACAAACCGCTCATGCACAAGCCTCACCGGGGTGGTGTGAGGTGTGTGTCTGGATGGAGGGGGAGGAGAGCTGCCCGATTCCGCGAGCTGCAACCTGTGTCACAACCTTTTGAAGGCGCCAACGAAATGGTGCGGAACATTTTGTTGCCATTAACTCATGAACGAAAAAGTTACTGGAAAAAACCTCTGGCCTGTTCCAGACCTGAAAAAGGGTGAATCCATGTGAAGCCAAACTGGGCCATAAAACATGCCAAGACATCCAAGACAAAAACTGGGGGTTCCAGAAGCCTGTGTGTCACAAGCCAGTTTCGTGGCCAACATCCGAGCCGACCGCCTCGGACCAACTCGGTGCCACCATGCACGGCCTGATTCTGGCCTGAGAGGACCCGAAAGAACCTGATCCGAAGCCCCTAAATCCATGCGTGACTTTGCTGCTTGGGCGGCCCGATGTGTCTGAACCATCTGAGATCCTGATCCAGCACTCCCGGACTAGGCTCGACATGCCCGCGGCTGGACCTGGCCCTGCTGGATCAGTTCACATCATTTTGTACAGCACCATCAGTACGATCAAAAACAAGACCGAGAGTCTACCTGCTAAGCAGGTTGACATGTGCTCTTCCCTCCCTGAACGAAACGCAAGCAGCTTGTTGATTGAATTAGAAACAACTCGGACAGCCACCCCAGCACCGACCACTACATCCGACCGCCGCCTTTGAAGATCTTTGCCATGTCTTTGAAGCGATGCTGGTCAGAGCCTTGGATAAAAACATGTGAGGAGGCCCTGCCCTGCAGTGGCCAAAAACAAGCTAGCAAGGGGTTGGGGATGTGGGTACCCCCTGCTCCTTAGCTCCTCCTGAGCACCAGCTAGCAATGGGCACCCCAGGCTCCCTAGCTCCCTCCGGAGCAACAGCTAGCAAGAGTTTCTTACTTCTTCTGCCAACGCCTTCAGGAATATCGACATTGATCCAATTAGAATTGAATATGCGGATGTATGACTAGGATGCACTGATGTACGAATATATTGTAAGAACCATATGAAACAATTTAGAATTTCCAAGCCTTTGTTGTTGTACTAGTGGTCATCGCCGCCGCCGTGGCAGCAGCAGGAGTAGTAGCAGCAGCAAAAGTAGAAGCAAAAGCACCACAGCAGCAGCAGCTATACCTACTACACTACTATACACTACTGTACTATACACTACTACTACTGCTACTACTGCTACTACTACTGCTACTACTGCTGCTACTACTACTACTACAACAACAACTACTACTACTATTGGGGGGGCCCCCAAGTGTTGGGTGATCGACCGAGCACTGACCAGCCATCGCGCCCATCCCAGCGGCAGTTGGTGACCACCACGAAAATCCCCAGCGTCCGTCCCATGTCCTGGACGTTGCTTTGGCGGAGTTGGGTCCCTCAAGGGTTCCCCAGGGGTCCTGATTCCTCAAATATCTACGCTATATATTACTACAATTGAGGTTCTATGGATAGTGTCCACATCTGATCCATAAATAGGGGGGGCCGGGGCCCCCCTCTCGCAAACCTCAAATAGACTGCATATTACTAAGTGTTTAGCATTGCATTTCCCCTAGTATAGGAGCAAGGAAGGCTGGAATTTCAGGGTAACACTAGTTAGCTTTATTGAGGGTGCGTTTATATAAATCTATCTTGGGATTTGCTTAGCTTTACAGTCTTCCTGGAGAACCAAATCGCCACAACCATCGGATCGTCACGTGTCAGTTGACTGGACAACGGTTCAAAACAACAGCAAGAACTGACCCGTTTGGGGGCTACTCCACATTTCTCTTGGTTTGGTAGAGCAATGCTAAGATTTGATTAAAGAAGGAAGTGCATGCGTCATTGCACACTCTCCCTACAGTATTTCTTTCTTCCGGTGGTTCCCTCTTGTGATGTGCACACAAAGAGCCTGGGACAGCCATGGTGCTTGAGTAGCAGCCATGGAATATGCTTGCACACACATTCTTAGCGCCACAATTGTGCTGCTGCTATGTGACCATGCCACATACCTGCCGTGGAGGCTTTTGCCCCGTCTGCCAATCATTTACCGCATGCTTGTCAGCCCCAGCCTCGCACAACAACCGTACAACTTCCAAGTAGCCATTCTCAGCTTCAACTCGAGGCAGTTGACTCACTGCAAGCTGAGGCCATTGACTCACTAGTTGACCAACCTTTGGTTGCCATATTCATGTCATTGGTGTCAGCTCCATACTCTAGCAACAACCGCGCCAGTGCCATGTCACCATCCTGATGCGCAGTCAAGCTGCGGCTGCGCCTCCATCCTCGATCAAGAACCGTACCACTTCCAGGTGATGTTCTAAGCTGCACATATCAAGCAGGCTGCCTAACATCAAAGCATTTCCGCGATCTGAAGCATTCTTGTCAGCTCCAGCCTGGAGTAACAACCTCTGGTGCGTTGTCAGTTTCAGCCTCGAGCAATGAGCAACTCCACCACTTCCAAGAAGTGGCCATGGAAAGCTGCAACACCCAAGGTGCCTTACTTGGATTTGATTGAGGAACCGAGAACAAGTAAAGAATATTTACCAAAGGAGATATCATCCATAGAGAAAAACACATCCTAAGCAGAACACCATTCTTGCCAGCTCCAGCCTTGAGCAGCAACCGTACCACGTTCAAGCCTGTTCTGCTTCAACGTGCGATAAACAATGGACAAACTCTCCACCTCTCCCATCGGGGTCCAGTGGTATCTGAAGCAAACTTGCAACTTCAAGCAGTGAACCGTTCTCGCAGTCAGTAGTGCCTCCCCAACGGTTTCCTTAGACTACAAAAGTTCAGGATTCCCGACTGCAAACCGGGCACCTGTCTGACAGGCATATCATCCACTCAAGAGTCGTTGCCAAACTCTTAAGGTTCCAACCCGACTGGTTAGGAGCTTCTTCAGATCCTCAACTATATGTTCATTCGCCACCATGTAGCCTAATTCCTTCTCATTGAGCCGAGTGAAAGTCGGCTGAGAATGGTTCGGCCTCACTCATCACTCCATTGAGTAGTCGCTCTTTGGGCAATGAGTAGTCGCTTGCAGATGGGCATCACACATGGACGCTCTTTGGGTACTGGGTTCCTTCTTTTGCAGCCAGACCAACAAGAAAGCAACATCCCGATAAGGCACATCGCTTCAACATCATTTCAGGTACAGTAGCAGCGAGGAAACCAAACGCAAGAACGTGTGGCATGCACGCGAGAAGCTAAGTCATTGTAGCAGGCACGCAACAACAGTTTTGTGTTTGCTCTTTGCCTTAGAAGTCCCAAATTCCATGAACCTGGAGGGAGCAGTCACGCAGCCTTCAATCGAAGCCTAAATGGACGAAGACATAAACACCAATGAATATGCAAAAAAACACATACATTTCACAAATATCTGATCTGTAAAACTAGAATTGTTAATAATTTGTATGTATATATGCCAAACACTCCATGGGACTGGTATATTTACCGATCAGGCCAGGAGTGGGTTTGAGAGGTCGATGGGGCGGCATATGACAGTCCCATGGGTCGTGGGACTGGGTCTCCAATGGTCTCCATTCTTCGATTCCGACCACTCCCAACACCGGTCACCAGGTTCTTGGTCTCCGGGGTCCTTCGTGGTCTCCGTCTTCCCGGTTCCGGCGGGTCCAGCGGGTGCGCCGCCAAAGTACATGCCCAGGGCCTCGCGCTGCGCCGTCGCCAAAGCTGGTGGGCCGAAACGTGGTGGAGTGGAGTTGGTCTTGTCCAGTGGAGTGGAGTGAAGTGAATATAGGTATTTTAATAGATGGAATTGACCCCATCTATGACCTTAATTGTATGCATTAAGGAACATTGAGGAACTAATATATACTGTATATATACTGTATATATATTCCATACATGGATGGTCCCAGTTTCAACCAAGAAGCCAACCAACCGCTGATTCGCTTGAAAGGGGTTGGTCTGGTGGTGTGGGACCGAAAACCCTGTAGCTCGTAGCTCTGCGGTGGTAATGAAAAAACACTGTGGTCCCTCCCACAGTTCAAACCCTTAGACCAAACATGTTTTTTTCATCCAGTTTGCACTTGCCGAATGGTGATTGAATGAACCACGCGATGCCGAGGAATCGTGTGAAGATGGGCCTGCCATGTTCAATGCATGCGCGTGATTCTGGCGGTGGTCCACCACGCGGGGGAAGGGTTCTGACTGTGAGTCCGTTAGCCAGTCCGCATCTCAACCACCCGGCCTGGGACTGAGTCAAGTAGCAGCGGTCGGTGAGAGCCTGGGTGAGACCGGTCGAAGGAAGACACAGTGGCGTGTGAAGCTGAAAGATGGCTGGTGCATGGGGCCATACCCAAGCCAAACATGCACATTTTCCATAATTTTGCTGCATATCATTTTATAGGTGTAAGGTCGGATTGCTGGGTAACTTTTTCCCAATTCCACAAATGGATACAAATGGCAAAGAACAACAACTCACATAAATCCAAACCACCCAAATGGAAAGATAAAGACCCACGCTTAATCTCTTCACTGCCTGTTTATCACCTCGAAAGCCCTTGGCTATGTCTCATGAAGTCCGAGGGTAGCTTGCCCAACCCAAACCCTCCAAAGGCCACCGTGCACCGGGTGGCCAAATACCGTCTGCTAAGCCTAACCACTATCCTATTGCGAACTCCAATAGACCAACGCTTAAAGCTATCTACTAGTAGTATGTAGTAGTTAGTAAGAAGTAGTAGTAGTAGTAGTAG